GCTATGTAGGACTTTAATGGCTATATAGGACTTTGATGGCTATGTAGGTCTTTGATGGCTATGTAGGACTTTAATGGGTATGTAGAACTTTGATGGCTTTGTAGGACTTTAATGGCTATGAAGCACTTTGATGGCTATGTAGGACTTTGGCAGATTCCTTGCTTGGGTCACCATGAAACGTGATTTGGCTGTGATTGCTCCGGATTCATTCCTATAGATCATTTATCCTCAGCAATTTGTTGCTTTCTCCACTAATGTGTATCCCCATAAAACTATTCAGCAAAATATATTAACGTATTTTTCTATTACATTTAATATCAGAATATGCACTAACACACTGATTCTGGAGAGAGGGAAGCTATTAATGAAAGTGAAGTGCTATACAAGTTCAGACACTTGTAAGTGAATGCTTAGATAATCAATGACCTTTTGCTACAGTATTCAGAGGGTCACAATCTGCATTTCTTAACTCTAGGTTGCGAACTCGATGAACTTAAGTGTAGAGGATGACTCAAGTTTGTCAGAAATTAAATTTCGAATAAATTCATTAGATTTTTACTTATATCATTGTTTACAAAAACAAAACATACAATAGGAGCATTTTCAAATAAATTAGATTATCATCTCAGTTTAAGCATAGTCTGGTTCAGGCTTGTAGCTCTGGGCAGGCTTGTAGGCAGGGCTAGGGGCGGGCTTGTAGGACGGTGTGGGCTTGTAGGCGGGGGCGGGCTGGTAGGCGGGTGTGGGCTTGTAGGAGGGTGTGGGCTTGTAGGCGGGGGCGGGCTGGTAGGCAGGGTACTTGGCCTCGCCCTCGTAGCTCACTACAGGTACGTAGCCGGAGTCGCCGCTCACTCCGTAAGTCACCTTTTGCACACGACCGTCGGGAAGCTGGACGTAATAAGTACCCTTGGTGTCGTAGCCGTCGCGAGACTCTTGGTGACCGAAGTCGTTGCCGAAGTCATCCTTAACGGCGAACTGAGAGTTGTACTGGGCAGGAGTCTGTGGGGAAATAATATACACTGATACCACAATACACAGTGACACAAAAACGGAAATAAATCACAGAGTAAATCACTTAATGTTCAACTCCTGGAAAACGCTATTTGATACTTGACTAAGATCGTCTAAATGTTCCATAAGATTGTTATAAATTTTTATAATAAAAGTTTCCATAGTATAATACTAAATGATTTGTTGTGTAATATATAAAAATATGAAGCTGTTCGAAGTATGTTTCCTTTTATATAGAGCTGTGATAAACATTATGCATTTATGCAAAAGGCGATCATGAGACCCTACGAGCGTTATCTTACATCAGGGTGAGCTGGGGCACCGTAGGATGGTCTAGGGTGAGCTGGGGCACCGTAGGACGGTGAAGGGGGGGCTGAGGGTGGTTCAGACCTGGCGAGAGTGGCAGCCACGAGGGCAGACAACATCAGAACCTACAGGGCGAGAGACATCAACACATTAAACGTAATGTTACATTCATATCATAAGTTTTCTACTAGTGCCTAGCGAATACAATAAATATTTTATGCAGTATGGACAAGGAAGCTCTCTCTCTCTCTCTCTCTCTCTCTCTCTCTCTCTCTCTCTCTCTCTCTCTCTCTCTCTCTCTCTCTCTCTCTCCCTCCCTCCCCACCTTGGATGTCATGTTGGCAGTGGAGTGTGGAAACAACTGATGGTACCTTAGGCTGACCGGACACTTATATATCAACAGCCGACTCTAAGGGTCACGTGATGAAGCGAGTTCTTGACCTTGTACTAGATTTAGAGAACTGCAGCATTGAAGTAAACTGCTTTTTAAAAGCCACTTTGCCACTTTAGTACATGAAAGGAATATAAGAATTATTGATAAGGTGTTTGTCTTACACATTCTCATTGATCTGGCAAAGGAAGTCGACGAATTGAGCACCAATAAAGAGGAGCGACATATGTTCAGGAACATCAACCGTGGTTGATATACTTTATATGAATAACAGCCTCAGAGGTTATAGGTTATAAACAGCAATGGAAGATGGACACGATATTGACTGGGAAGATTTCGAACGGGTTTCTTGTTTGTTTATGAATATGGTTTCTTTCTGATCGATCAAAGGTGTACATAACCATGTTGTGTTAACCGTCCTACATTTAACAAGGCATATCAGATGCAGTTTTAACATAATGATAATGAAGTATATTACTGCACTTTGATGGACTAGGCCTGAAATTGTTATATATACATTCACATTTAGAGGTCATTTGCAGGCGAGGAGTCTCAACGTGGCTGAAGCATGTTGACCAGACCACACACTAGAAGATGAAGGGATGACGACGTTTCTGTCCGTCCTGGACCATTCTCAAGTCGATTGTGAACAGACCAAACAGACCACACTTCACCTTCTAGTGTGCGGTCAAGTCAATAAAAGTTAATAATTTGCCCCTAACATTCTTCCATAGATAAACAAAATAATTAAACATTATTATGGATCTATAAGAAGATATAATATTGTCATGTAATTTGTCAATTATATTTAACCGTCCCAGTGTGTCAAGCCTCATCGTGGATGAATGGTGGCAATGCCATCGTTAAGTAGCTGCTGGTTATAAGTGTCCCAAATTCCCCTCTTTTGTTTCTGCATTGTAATCCTTGTAGGTGATTGGCCAGTCTCATTCTCCTCCTCTTCCCTTTTCAGGCATTGAATGACTAATTGGTCCCAATGACTGACTTTATAACTGTAACCCGTATTTCAATTCAGTCGAATCCAATTACATTCGATACCCCAGTAATGAGAGAAAATTATAATGGATGAGAATCATTCTCAATCGACTTGAGAATGGTCCAGGACGGACCGAAACGTCGTCGTCCCTTCACCTTCTAGTGTGTGGTCTGGTCAAATAATAATGGATGAGTTGCAAATACTACGTTGAATGTTGATATGAATCCAAAATGTTGACATACAGGTAACATATAAAGTATATTTTCACTAAAAGGCAGTGATATTATAACATGCTCGTTACTGAAGTCAAAACAGAATAAACTGAGCCAATTTCATTTGTGTGGAGAATGAAATAAAAAATAGGAAATCATTTCAACTTGGGATAAAAAAAGGCACAGTTCATTATAACTGAAACATAAGAGTGAACCGTTTTGTATATTCATATGTTTCGTAAATAATAATATTTTCAACATTTTATCTGTTTCATTTTAACTATAACAATGTTTTTACCTTTTGAATGTTCTGATGAACGTGTACAAAAGGTTGTCCATTGCTTTCATTACAATGAGAATACAGACACGCCCCAGACAATGAAAACATAATGAATGCATCAAGGGAGAACAGCCGCTGCTTTAACGAGCCTTGCCTGAGGGTAGGTTGGAGTGCCTGTCCGCAGACCAACCTCATTCGAGAACGTTGCCTCATAACATACAGATTGCTTCTCATTGGCTAAAACAGGTCACATGACATGAGTGAGGGGATGACGACACAATTGGCTTCAGACGTCTTTCAAGCACCATTTTATCTACCCAGAAAATGTTGTTCAATAATATAAATGAAAGCAACCCGATTTCATTGTGAAAATTACTATTTCACAGTTTAAATAAACTATACCTTTGAGGTAGCGGGTGTGTATGACTCTCAGACAGTTGAAGACGCGTTTCTCAATCTTTGTATCCTTGAAATAATTCCGGGTCGTATTTTAGATAAACATACACATAGATTTCATTGCCAACTAGAAGGAGACGATTTGTGTCTCTGCTTTTGATGCTGGTTAAATGTGAAAATTAGAAACAAAAAATTGCTGGAAAAATACATTTACGTATTATTAGAATTATCCTATTTATCACTATTTCTTGTGGAACCTCCCTATAGTTATCTTGGAGATCCGTGGAACATTTACATATTATTAGAATTATCTTATTTATCACTATTTCTTGTGGAACCCGCCTATAGTTACCTTGGAGACCCGTGGAACATTTACATATTATTAGAATTATCTTATTTATCCCTATTTCTTGTGGAACCCGCCTATAGTTACCTTGGAGATCCGTGGAACATTTACATATTATTAGAATTATCTTATTTATCCCTATTTCTTGTGGAACCCGCCTATAGTTACCTTGGAGATCCGTGGAACATTTACATATTATTAGAATTATCTTATTTATCCCTATTTCTTGTGGAACCCGCCTATAGTTACCTTGGAGATCCGTGGAACATTTACATATTATTAGAATTATCCTATTTATCACTATTTCTTGTGGAACCCGCCTATAGTTACCTTGGAGATCCGTGGAACATTTACATATTATTAGAATTATCTTATTTATCCCTATTTCTTGTGGAACCCGCCTATAGTTACCTTGGAGATCCGTGGAACATTTACATATTATTAGAATTATCTTATTTATCCCTATTTCTTGTGGAACCCGCCTATAGTTACCTTGGAGATCCGTGGAACTTCCAGTTGACAGTAAAATAACAATATTTGTTTACAACTTGCAGCAGTATTCATCAGCTAATTTGTCAGAAGCCAAACATTAGGAGCCTCTACATCTTTCTTCATTATAACTCTCCTCAGTTACACCCAGAGATCACACTAACGTGATGCATCAAATGAACAAATATGAACGTGACAAATGAATGTATCCGATTCCTCGTCACGGCCCTTGTGGATTTGCTCCGTCCTCAAATCGATGTTCTTGTGAAACAAAACTCCTCACTAATATTTTAGTCTTATCAGTGTAACAAAAAAAAATGAAGCAGATGAAGCACTCGCTGAAGAGGGGAAGAAATGAAGACAAATGTGAAGCGACAAGAAGAAGTAAATAATACAATCCTAGAGCATAGAGTTGGGCCGCTCTATACAGCTTTCATTGTCGCATTACTGAAGTTGCAGATTTTGTATCATCAAATTAAGGTTAGTTCAAATTAATTAGATTTTATACGCAATTTATTTGATAAATATATTTGCATTCGGATATAAATATATGCAAATCATGGTATCGTATTAATTCATGCATAAGCTGGGGTGGGCGTATAGCTGTCAGGCTTGTAGCTGGGAGCGGCCTTGTAGCTGGGGTCAGGCTTGTAGCTGGGGTCAGGCTTGTAGCTGGGAGCGGCCTTGTAGCTGGGGTCAGGCTTGTAGCTGGGGTCAGGCTTGTAGCTTTGAGCGGGGATGGGCTGATACTTGGCCTCGCCCTCGTAGCTTATTTCAGGTACGAAGCCGGAGTCGCCGTTGACGACGTAAGTCACCTTCTGCACACGACCGTCGGGAAGCTGGACGTAATACGTTCCCTGGGTGTCGTGGCCGTCGCGAGACTCTTCATGGCCGAAGTCGTTGCCGGAGTCGTCCTTGACAGCAAACTGGGAGCTGTACCTAGCAGGAAACTAGAGACAAATGGTCGTCACTGTTCCACATGTATCATAGACTTCGCAAACTGTTGGATACTTGATAAAAGTAAGATCATAAAATAACTTATTAATAAGATAATTGCTTTTTTTAAGACTTTGTTAGGTTAGCTTCTACTGTTATAGACTTTCATGTAAAAATAAAAATCAAGCAGTTATGTAATTCACTCTATTGACGTCTAACTACTGTGGAAGACATATATTACATCCGGATAAGCAGGAACAGCATATGATGGTCTAGGGTAGGCAGGGGTATTGTTGGGTGGTGAAGGGTGCCCTGAGGGTGATTCAGGGCGGGCGAGGGAGGCAGCCATAAGGGCAGCCAACACCAGAACCTACAGATCAACCCATCAAAAAAAATAAATAAATGCAGAATACATTAAACTATAAATTCATGTTTAAAAAGAAGCATTTTTTTCTGTTATTTGACGTACTAAAACAAAATAGATTATTTATATATGTATCATTCCGTCACACACATTGGATCTGCCAATATATAAGACATTTGAAAGCAAGACTGTCTATATTCACCTTAGCAGTCATGGTAAGTTTGAGGTGAAAACAACTGGCAGTTACTGGAGCAGATCAGAGCCTTTTATATCATCAACCCCGCCCAGAGTCAAATGACGAGGCGGGATCTTGACATTGCAAAATATTTATAGAAATGCATTTGATGTTGTGTAAGCTATCTTGTAAAATTATTTGGTGTATAGAAGTGATATATATATATATATATATATATATATATATATATATATATATATATATATATATATATATATATATATATATATATTTGTGAGGTTTACAGGCCCTCAGGGTTCCCCCTAGAACTCTGATTACATCTTGACACATACACGATCACCAACAGTAAACACCTTCACTATTGACGATGATTTCTGCACACTATCTTTACTACCTCATACATGCAGTCTTCACTTCAACATATATGCAATCTTTACTACATCATTCACGTGATCTTTTCCGCATCATATACATTACTACAGCATATAAATGATCTTTACTATATCTTACACATTAGTTTTACTATAAGTAATCTTCCCTTCATGCAGTATTCACAACACACAATCTACACATCGAGGACTTTCAATACCGGTGCATGCTTTCCTGAGGTCTCCTCAGAGCCCGTGTTCCACGAGATCATAGCGTCCCCTCGAGGGTCTAAACACTATGGTTCTTTCAGAATACCACTTGTCTCGTACATGGAGGGCCGCGCATGGTTCGTTGCTATTACACGGAACCTGCCGACAGATTGCAACTTAAGCTTGTGCCGTCACTGGATGGTTTAGCGCACGGAATTGAGGAATTTAATACCCTTGTCCACTAGGTTGATTTGTCACTCCGTTCAAAATTCAATCTCCTAACTAACACGAAACGTACGAACCCAAGCAACTCACCTAATGCAGGCGATGAGTCACAATAACGTGGCTAAAGTATGTTGACCAGACCACACACTAGAAGGTGAAGGGACGACGACATTTCGGTCCGTCCTGGACCATTCTCAAGTCGATCATTCTCACAATCGACTTGAGAATGGTCCAGGACGGACCGAAACGTCGTCGTCCTTTCACCTTCTAGTGTGTGGTCTGGTCAACAACCCATCTAACCTATTGAGTACGATACATAGAAAGCGTAGATATTTGTGAACCTCTGATTTTCATAGTAGGTTGCATTTAATACGTTGGTTTCCGTAAACGCGATCTATTAGTTGAGAGGACCGGTTATTATGTCAGCTAGCACTAATAAACCTTGGATATCTTACGATGATATTCTCAAGAACAGGAGAATGGATATAATAATTGCATATCTCTACCTATTAGCAGTAGTGTAATGACGAAAATCAATGTTATAGAGCTGGCGAATATTACCTAATTTAATTTAAGAGCTTACATGTTTTTTTGGGTGGATATAAGAAAATATTACTGGATACTACAGTAGGCCTATTGACCCATAGAATGCAGCTCTTATTGACCCGTACAATCCAGCTCCTATTGATCCAAATAGGGCATCATTTTTATCCTGGTTGATCATTTTAAATCGTTTTCGTTGAAACAGTGGTAGGGTCAACAGAAGATCCCAATGCACTGGTTTACCGACGACTCCTGCATTGTAGGGTTCAGTTCCTGGAGTCCACACTCAACCAGGTTATCTGGCAACCGTCAGGTCGTCGATCAGAACTACCTCCATTTGTCTCAGGTCGTTCCAAATCCCAGGAACGGCTCTAAGGTCACTCAGTTGGCCTTTCCAGCCCGCCCTCCTGTTAGACTGGTAGTCTATCACATCTTGAAGTCCTACTTCCCGCGGTTTAGGCAGTCCCGAATGCTCCTCGAGCAGTTGCTCGGCGTTTTCACTGCCTTCGACCCTGATTTCTACCAGCTGGCGTCCATCTCCACGGGCTAGACTGCTACTTGCTGGAGAGACAAATGACGCGTCCTTTCCCAACGAGCGCTAGGAGCGCAGTGACTCCACGTCTCCCGTCGTGAGTCTCCCGCTCACGACGCGGGCAGTGAAGTTATGCCATGTGACGGCAGATCTAGTTGCTAGCGCAACGGCTAATAACAAATACATAAGCTAGCTGCAACTATGGAGATTTTTGCTCTATTTTTCATGCAAAAACATTTGAATCTGGGTACATTTACTGACGGTGTAGCTCGCATGTGATCTGATACATCTAGTCGATTTCTCCACTTTGATTTCAGGATCAATAATGCAGGTAATTCTGTTTCACAAAGATAAGCAGTGATAAAGCATTCATTGCCCTCATCGCCAAGCTGGGTGAGCTGTAAGCTGCTTGGTTAGCGGCCTCGTCTCTATCCGTATTGATAACTGCGATAACTAATTATAATCTAACAACTTTTTTTTAGCATTGTTCAGAGATCGATTTCCATACTGATATTATTTTGGTTCTATGCCCCCCCAACGGCATGGTAATCCCGGTTAAGACCCACCTGAACTAAAGCCTCTTAGTGTAGCAAAGACCCACCTGAACTAAAGCCTCTTAGTGTAGCAAAGACCGTGGACCAGTCTCGCAGTGAATAATGAAACAGTGTACTAAGACCACACACACCAGTTGAAGTGCTGTTCAAGACGCTGCTTAAAAAGGTATTTTTTCAGATGTCGAAATGGACCTGTATGTTACCGATAAACTAGATAGGAAATAGAGAACAAGACTTAAATTTCAGACCAATGTTATTGAGAGGTAGGAAGCCCTCTACTCCAGACTGATGTTGTTACTAGGTAGAAAGGCCTCTACTTCATACCGATGTTCTCGAGAGGTGAGAAGACCTCTACTTCAGACCAGGTGGAACCTATATATCATGATAGTCGTTCTGCATTTGTTTTCCTATATTTTTAGGGATAATATACTATGAATAAGAACTTTGGATAACTTTGTGGGATTCCTGTAATTTCTCCATTTAGCTCTTTATTAGAAAACAACAATAAAAGGAAATTAATATTATTGTTTAGATCATTAGCATTTATTAATACAAAATTTTAAATAAATATGATTGGAATTTAACAAATGAGGTGCACTATTACAACAAGTTATGCATAGGCTGGGGCTGGCTTGTAGGCTGGAGCGGGCTTGTAGGCTGGAGCGGGCTTGTAACTGGGCTGGTAGGCTGGGTACTGGGCCTCTCCCTGGTATTCAACTTGGGCCACGTAGCCGGAGTCGCCGTTGACGACGTAAGTCACCTTCTGCAGGCGACCGTCGGGAAGCTGGACGTAATAAGAGCCCTTGGTGTCGTAATCGTTGCGAGACTCCTGGTGACCGAAGTCGTTGCCGGAGCCATCACTCACAGCGTACTGGGAGTCGTAACGGGGAGGAGTCTGTGGACGGATGATTAACAATGTTACATTGACATTACCGCACATGATATACACACCCTGCATTTTATGCTGTCTTTTTATCAAGTTGCCTTAATGTATAACAATTTTCCTAAATATTACATTTAACACTACTTAAAATATGTAATAATTAGGATAATTAATCTGTCAATAAAGGATAATTATTTGTTAATACATGATAACTGACACATATGTTCATTGAATATTTTATCATCAGTTGTTTTATATTAAAATATATGTTAAACAAGGTTATTGACGCTATTAAATCTCGAGAAAATAATGTGAAATCCATAGCTTACGTCTGGATAAGCTGGAGCACCGTAGGATGGTCTGGGGTATGCTGGAGGTGGCCCGTATGTTGGGGGAGGTTCAGGGCGGGCGAGGGTGGCAGCCACAATGGCAGCCAACACAAGAACCTACAGGGCCAGGCATCAACACTTATTAAGAACCTACAGGGCCAGGCATCAACACTTATTAAGAACCTACAGGGCCAGGCATCAACACTTATTAAGAACCTACAAGCCCAGTCATCAACACTTATTAAGAGCTTACAGGGCCAATCATCAACACTTATTAAGAACCTACAGGCCCAGACATCAACACTTATAACACTAAAATAAACCGTACATTCATATATCATTTCATATTACAAATAGGTTATAATTAACTTCATTACCCCTCATTTTGCTATTATCACAGCAAAAATAAATGAAAATCTTCACCTTTGTTGTCATGTTAGCAGTGAACTGTGAAGGTAAGTGATCGAGGGCCAGACAGTCAAGTGCCTTTTATACCAGCAGACTCTGCTCAGGGTCACGTGACGAGGCGAGTTTTGGATGACATTGTATGAGAAACGAAAGTCGATGAAGTGAATTATTTGATAGAAGTAGTGTAATGTCTAGAATTAGTGAGAGGTAAAGGTATCTTAGTGAGAAGTGTTATCAGTAGTTAAATTTGCATGTGAGACTGTGTGTGTGTGTGTGTGTGTTCACCTAGTTGGTCTTGCGGGGGTTGAGATTTGGCTCTTTGGTCCCGCCTCTCAACCATCAATCTACTGGTGCACAGATTCCTGAGCTTCTCGAGCTTTATCACATCTACATTTGAAACTGTGTATGGAGTCAGCCTCCACCACATTATTGCCTAGTGCATTCCATTTTATAACTACTCTGACACTGAAAAAGTTCTTTCTAATATCTCTGTGGCTCATTTGGGTACTCAGATTCCACCTGTGTCCCCTTGTTCGTGTACCATCCGTGGTAAATAATCCATCCTTGTCCTGTGTTTATGTGTGTGTGTGTGTGTGTTTGTGTGTTTATTTATTATTTTCTATTTGTATTTGCAGAATCTGTGCCTGCAGAAAAGAGGGGGAGGGAATTGTCAGGGAAAGCGCCAAGTCATTACAACTATTTATATATAGCACTTGGAAGGGGGGGGGGGGGTCAGGATAAGGATTTGGGATGGGACGGGGGAAAGGAATGGTGCCCAACCACTTGGACGGTCGGGGATTGAACGCTGACCTGCATGAAGTGAGAGTCTGCAGAAACGAGCTATTAGGTCTTGGACTCCGCCTTTCTAATTAATCTATTTTTCCTCTATTATATCTACTACATATATCTTTCTACCATACACATTCCCAGGAAGCATCCCGTAGCAGCTGTCTAACTTCAGGTACCTATTTACTGCTAGGTGAACAGGTGCATCAGGGTGAAAGAAACTCTGCCCATTTGAAAAAATGGGCAAAGTTTCTTTCACTCTGATGCATCTGGTCACCAAGCAATAAATAGGTACCTGGGAGTTAGACAGCTGCTACATGCTGCTTCCTGGTAGTGTAAGTGTCTGTTAGAGAGATTTATATGTAGATATAATGGAGAAAAAACGGTCGGGAGTCAGCACATTGGACAACCAACGGTTAAAATGGCGGGGTCCAAGAGCAAACAGTTCGATCGTGCAGATGCCACTAGTAAATAAAAAAACACGCATACAACTCCCATTAGCACAATTAGGTGAGTACATACAGCCCCACACACACACACACACACAGGCGGTTGAGAGGCGGGACCAAAGAGCCAGAGCTCAACCCCCGCAAGCACAACTAGGTGAGTACACACGCACACATATTGTATGTGTGGCATGTGTGTTTTTATTAGTAATGTTACATTTTTGCGTGTGTAAGAGAAATATATCAAGTTGACATAATAGAAGACAAAAATTGGTTAGAAAGGTGGGGACCAAGAGCTAATAGCTCAATTCTGCAGGCACAAATAGTAAATACACACAGCTGATGATTTTTGCCAC